AAGATTTTGTTTCTCGATGAGCCCACCACAGGCAAGTAGAATAAAAACAACACTATTCTGAGAAGAAAAAAACATTCTATGGGAATTATGTTCAGGTCTTGATGCATCAACAGCTTGTGACGTGATGAAAATTTTGAAAGATCTTTCAAAAAATGGATGTGAGTAGTTGACGAAGAAAAAAGATCTCAATTAAGATTAACTGAGAGTCACTATCTTGCATCTAGGTACTATCGTTTTTTCAATTCATCAACCACGATACTCGATTTTTGAACTCTTTGACACCGTCTTATTGCTATCTAAAGGTCACACCGTCTATTTGGGTCCATCCGCTAACGTTCAATCATATTTTATTTCGCAAGGATTTACATACCAGGAATATGACAATCCAGCAGATTTTACACTCGACATACTCATTCAAGCAGCTCGCACTAATCGAACAACAGATCTATACAATAATTATCTTAACTCGCCAATGTATCGTTTGATTTCAGATCGCTTAACGAATACTTTAGACACTGTAGATAGCGCAATATCACAACAGCAACAGCCAATGCGATCGATTGCATCGAAATTTTTCTATGTTTCTCAGCGCACACTACGCAATACAATACGCAATTCTGCACTACTAACGTGGCAAATCGCGGTTGCCATTATTCTAGCAGTGCTTACCGGTCTTCTCTATTACCGATTGCCGCAAACGACAGGTTCAGGTGTCCAAAATCGTCTAGGAGGCCTTTTCTTCGTTACAGTCAATCAAATTTTTAGTACTGCAACAGCACTTGAACCATTTATCAAGGAACGTGCACTCTTCATTCATGTAAGTATTCATCGTCAGATATATGATGATTTACGATTTTCTAATTAGTTCAAAAAAAATACATCTTAGTATAGATAACAAGCATGTATAGTGCATTATGGAATAATGATACATTTGATTTTTGTCTTTTGATGATAATTTCTAGCAGGAAAACTAAACTCATTCGGTTTTTTCATTTAGGAAAATGTCAGCGGTTACTACAGCATGCAAACGTTATTTTTTGCGAAATTACTGTGCGATCTTGTACCAATGCGAGTTGTGCCCTCGGTGATCTTTAGTATCATTTGTTACTTCATGATGGGCTTACAGAACAATGTCGGGAAATTTTTGGTCTTTCTCATCACTATCTTCATGGCGAATATGTTCGGTTCAGCTACATGTTTTTTCGTCGCTGCAAGCATATCTGTTTTTGGTAGTATTTCTCTCTCTTTTTCAATATTCAAGCTTCAGATTAAGGTTTAGTCCCGAACTTTACTGAGCAGAACTATAACAATTAATTATTTTTAGTGATTTTGCTTCTTTGAATCTGTAGAAATAATTTAGTCGTTTCTCTCAAATATCTATTTCATGTACATGCCTTCGACTTCAGTTCAACCTAAAGTCATAGAATTACAGTGAAATCAGAAGTCGCCTGAGATGTATATCAAATCGTTCCCCTTCCGAGACTCGAACACTTTTGATTTCGTCGCCATTATAATCGATGAATGTAGGACTCGGCCATATGGTGGGTGTGAGTGTGGGTCAACGGAAGGCTCAAACCCACGCCAGCAGCCACAGCCACATCCACCGACACTCACACCCACTCCACGCCCTTCGTTGAAACAAGTCGAAAAGTTAGTGATTTATTGTGAAAATTAGTTATAAATAGTGTTTTGTTTTCAATGTTTTTCGGGATTCTTACGTGGGTAGCTGGCCCATAAACTGGGCTCCATTCAAAGCACATCTCCCTTTATAGCCCTATTTCTATGATGAACTCTGGCTTAAACATTTTCTTAAAAACTGCCAAATCTCTAACATTGTAAGATGGAAAAAGTTTTATTTGTTGTAGCCAAGAACGAGAGTCAGAAAAACTTCTTAAATTGTTCTTCGAGAAAAAAGGTTGATATTTGTTCAACTCAGCGGGATGAAGAAATCTCAGAATCTAGAAGATAAGGGCTTGTCTTTTAGTAGAAAACTGATCTTACATTGAGTATTTGTTTTTACTTTAACGTATGTCCAGCTGTCGCTGTGATCGTGCTGGTCCTCATATTTGTCATCATGATGGTATTTAGTGGTTTTCTTGTCGATTTGGAAAGTGTATTTAACTTTCTTCGATGGATTAAATGGGTGAGCGCATTTCGCTATGCATATAATGTATTGATTGTCAATGAAATTCGAAATCTGAAATTCTGTTTGGCCAATCAAACACATATATGTCCTTTATTGGGTAATGAAGTCTTGCAACAACGATCAATCGACCATGAGTCAGATTGGGACATGTGGAAATATTTTCTCACTCTCACAGCCATGACTGCAATACTTTTTCTTATGGCTTATATCAAATTATTGTCTATCAAGAAGATCAAATAAATTATTTGAACTCTCGCTATCAATGTCAGTGTAAAAAAAACTCTAATAAAAATAGTGCACAATAGTGCGTGTGAGTGTATGAAGGTGTAGATGTGGGTGTTGGTGTGGGTGCGGTTATCGATCTTCTCTTTACCCGCATTTACAAGTCCACACCCACGCACATTCACACCCCGTTAGACGGTCTTATATGAAATGAGGAAAGAGTAATATGCTTCCGACAAGTTCTATTACTATACTCTGCATAGCTAAGAATTTACGAAGAATAGGTTTGACCTAGCTTCTAAGCCAGTTAAATTGCGGAGTCTTTGCCGTTCTCTTTAGGGAACTGTATGATGCAGATCATAGACCATGCCGAAACTGAAAGTCAGCATGTCAGAAAAATGACCAAGCCGTCATGGACATCTAAATCTCTGTCGGGAAACTATCGTGGGTGAGTGTGAGTGTGAGTAAAGAGAAGAACTACACCAACACCCACTCCTACACCCATATACGATCATCGTAACCATGGATTTGAATAATACATCAAATATTGGTATTTGTGTAGTTTCACGATTACCAACGAGACAATTGTTCAAGCGCGATGAATTAATAAATATCCGTCTGAGAATATTTGTGTATTAATATACTTAGGGTAGTCCAAAAGTTCTGAGCCCAATGTTTAAGATTTTATAAAACAATTAATATCAAAAGTTTTTTTGCATGAATACATAGAAAAATGTCTCGTCTATAATAATACATATGATAACTCTGTCTTGTATTTAATTCTAGCATTCTTTTAGATAAAATCTGTGACACAGTAACTATTCGATGATGTAATTGTCTGTTGTCCAATGTTCGAATATATCCGGAACCTTTCCATATTTTTCAGTTCCCTTTCAGGAGGTTTCCAAAATTGTGCACAATATTCCAGAAAAAGAGTTTTAAAAAACTTTCGACAAACTGTTAGAAAGGATGGAACTTTGTATTAACAATAATGGCGATTATTTTGAACATATAATAAAATAAAATTAGAAATATTTCTTTCTTTTTATATTTTAATGATGTTATTAGAACTTTTGCTCAGTCTCAAGTATCATAGACTTTATCTAAAAGAATATTAGAATTAAATACAAGATAGAGTTATTATATGCATTATTATAGACGAGACATTTTACTATGTATTCATGCAAAAAAGCTTTCGATATTAATTGTTTTATAAAATTTTAAATATCGGGCTCAGAACTTTTGGACTACCTTAAGTATTTTCTCATATAAATTAAACTGGTAGAAGGAAATAGTACAAATGACGTTTCTACAACTTTCTGAACTCTAACGTCAACAATCCATTACTTATTCACAAACAAACTACATTAAGTGAATTTAATCTGTTATATTTCAAACTGAGTTTTGCTTTATCGTATTGAAACCAATATAAATGATGGTTTATAAAATGAATAGAGTTTTCATAGATATGATAGCAGTATTTTTTTTTATCAACACATTTTCGATGTGATCTAACCTCTTTATTTATACGATACAGATGATGATAATCGTAATGCAGAATGAATTTTGCTTCTAAAATTTAAATTTTACGTATGAGAAAAAAAGACTTAAGTATGCAAGTGCGACACAAATTATGACTCATAATTTTATTTAATCCAATAACTGACGATGCGGTTAGATGTCACTTCATACTTTCGTATATATAACTATGTGATAAATGAGAAAAAAAAGACAAAATGTATGATGTCGCCATTATCGATATATGTTTCTGCACTCATCAACCCTTTCACACAATAAATTATTTCTTTTTTTCTTTCCTTCTCGCACGTTTCATTTTTTTATTTTGTATACTGCTTAACTCAACGTTTTTTATTCATGGCTTTGTTTGGTACTAATATTACAAAAATTGCAACTCAAACTCTACAAGGTAGATTCACAGAATATCGATTCTATTATTATTTCATAGTACTTCGAGTTATCATTTTTTCTAAATAGGTTGGCGTGGTTTGATCAAACCTTACATATTCACAACAATCGCAATCGGCACAAGTGTAACAACCGGTGATTTGATATGTCAATATTTAGAAAGTCATAAAAAGAGTCCAACGGGTGAGACTATTGCACCGTCGTCATCTTCTTTGCTATCATGGTGGAATCGTGAACGGTCTCGGATCATGTGTACGACAGCTGTTCTCGTATCAACACCCTGGTCCTTCACACTCGCAAGAATAGTTGAGCGATTGTTTCCAGGTTAGTACAAACGAAGATAATCAACAGACAACAAATTTAATATCCTAAAATCTTAGTCGACGTTCATATGGTTTCCTTTATACATAAAAGAATTCGAATTTTTCGGACGTGATTGTCAAAAAAAATCATATTTCGAAGTAAACTACCTCATTTAAAGTACGATGGAATGATTGAAGTCGGAATTGCATTAGAAATATGGTGGCATAGTATATTCATTTTCATCTCAGTTTTGAAAATAATTCTGTTTCGTTTATTTTGTAACTAAAATCATTTCTCTACCTTTTATCTTTTTATATTTTGAACAGGTAAACAAGGTATTCAGATTGCAAAGAAGATGTTGACCAATACATTACTTGCACCTCTCAATATAAGTATCGTCTTCGCATGTATTATCCTTCTGCAGGGTCACAATCTTCGTATAGCTAGAAGAAAAATTAAACATGATATGCCAAAAACGTTTGTAGCTGGAACATGTTATTGGCCATTCGTTTCATTTATTAACTTTCGTTTTATACCATTGAATTATCGACCGATTGTTGGAAGTCTAGCTGGAGCTATATGGAACATTTATATCTCGTCAGCTGCTAATAATCCAAAATTAAATCCAGATGGTACTATAAAAGCGAAAGCAGGAATAGAAACAACTTTATTGGCTGAAACAAGTGGAACGACAGTGCCAGCATTACAAGAAGTATGGAAGACATTAGACAATAATAATAAAAACTCTGCAGTTCGTTGAATACGACTCTAGTTGAAATTCTAATACACGTAATTACTCTCGCTTGGTAGACAAAGATCAGTATGTCGATAAAAAATTTAATTTTTTCTAGCTCATACTCTTTGTGAAATGAAGAGGCATAATTTATTCAAGACTTGTACAAAAGATTTTCAGACTAAGAAAAATAATCGTACCTGTGCAAAATTATAATTATAGTTTCTATGTTTTCATTAGTAATCAGTTGATCGTTTCGTCAAAAATAAAAAATCTACGTCAGAAATATCACTTTGAACAATGTATTGTAAAATAAGAATCAGTCAAAGGAACATGGTTTGTTTCAGTTTGACATAGATCAGATCATTGGTATTACAGATCATTTTCCATATTCAAGAACACAGCATTGGCATTATTTTTAAGTATGAAAATTTGGCGTTTCTTGCACAAAACTTAAATAAACGAGTGAAAATAAATGAAAAAGTCATGTGCTAGTTTCTTTTTGAATCCTGCATAGAAAGGATGCGAAAACGCTCACAAAGTTCGAATATTAGTGTAAGAAATTTCTATGAAGGTCAATATTTTTGGCGAAGAGTTTCTCTGATACTATCAGTGGTTAAAAAACGTTATGTAAAATAACGTTTTGAAGCATCGTCATATAGTAATAGTATTTATAGGATTTGTATGAAACTAGAAAAGGTTAACGATATAGTTTAGAATTTTTGAACACAGCATTCTGAACGGAAAAAAGATCAATTTTTAAATTAAAATAATAAATGAAAATTTAAATTTCTATCAAGTCGTAAATGTCTGAAAAATAGTGTATAAACACTGGTATTGAATACTATAGAATTCGAATAACTTCAATTGAAAATTCACATATCTATTGAAAGATAAGATCGAATAGTAATTACTACAAATATTTTACTCATACTTACCTATATATCAAATCTCTAAAAATGAATTAATGATTCATATAGTATCGAAATCTTATGAAAAACTATTAATTTTCTAATTTGAGTATTGCTCTATTTTAGTTCAGTTCAGAGCTGTTTGCCTAGCCCGCTGCCTGGTAGACCACCAGGCCAGGCTTAACTTTAGAATCTTCGCCTGGCCTGGTCCCGATTTAATACGAATTTTGTTACTAAAATCCTTCAAAAATAAGGCGATGTCGTATGTTAATAATATTAAAGAAGAACTTTCGACTATCGTAGATGAAAGATAGTTTGTTAGAGTGAAAGAATAATGATAATAGCTACGAGATATTTATTTCAATAAAAATAAACGAACAACCTAGTTTTCAGTCGAAAAACAAAACTCTTTTCTTTGTTTTCTCACACTTTTCTTATACTAACAATGGAGGTATTGGTGTTGTCAGTCAAAGAGATGGCACATTTTCATATCAAATGAAAACTCTCACTGCCAAACTAACAAGGTTAAAATATTAGCTGCCATTGCAATGCCTAGAGCGAGATATTCGATTTTTACGGTACTCATGGTTTCGTTATACAGGAACATTAGGATTATTTACATTATTTTTTATGAAATTAACTGACGAGGGAATACTACGAACTGATCAATCGCTTTTTAATGCGGTGCGAAGCACAGCATTTATGTAGTCGTGCGTGAGTTCGATTCGAATCTTGTTTTCTCAATTCTCTCGATTCGTGCTTCGCACCGCATTTCGTATTCGAGTCGAAACTCGAATACCATCTAGTTAAATTTTAGTCATGTCAATTTGTAGAGCTTGTTGAGTTATTAATTGATATTCTGTAATTTATACCTTTCTTGTATGATGTATTGTCAGAACTAACAGATCGCCAGTCTTGAGCAAATAAAAGCAGAACAAAAGTGAGATTGTAACAAAGAATCACGTTAGAACACAGTTATACCCCAATGGATAAAAGTTTCTCTGATTCAATTATTTGAAAAATAATAATAGGCTTCTTCTCATGTGGTCGTCTAAACATCTCAGTAAACTAGTTTATATTTTTTAGAACAAAGCGAACACATACAAAGTGTGTGTAGACAAATCTACTGTTGCAAGAGTGTTTCACATCTTAATAGCCGCCTTGATCTTTGAAAATACGTTCGATGTCTGCATTGTGTGGATTCCATGGTGGTAACCAATGAGGTTTATTTTTTTCTAACCATGTCCAAGTAAAATCAGAAACCAATGCATGACCATATTGATTGATGTGAAAACCATCGACACTCTCAACTAATTGCCATGGTTCGCCACCTTGTGCTGCCCATTCTGCAAAAACGTCAGCGACAGAAACGTAGAAATAATCAAGATCAAAATTCTTGGGTGAATATTCTAATGTCACATTACGTATTGCTGCGGACAGATCGATTGCTCGTTGAGAAGTCAATGCACGTAATGTATCATTTGTTGTCAGCCATCCATTGCATGGAGATACTTGCAGACAAGATAAATATGTATAGAATTGTGCATAGGTGACTGGTGTACCAACACGACCCAATGGATGAATACGATTGTGTAATAATTCATATAAGAGACTACCATTGGCTAGACCAGTTGTCAATACGTGACTACCTTTAGGTAAAATCGTATCAAGATAAGTAAGAACGGTCAATACATTGGTACGCATCTCTTTTACAGTAGTCATATGATCAATTGTATTCGGATAACCATTACAGACATCATTACCAACTAAGGCATAGAAAACGAGAAGAGGAACATCATTTTCTGGATCACGTGTTAATGTCTTTGAAATATTGATCATCGATGAACTGCGTGCTCCGTTCACTGCAATATTTTGATAGTCTCGATGATTGCAATGATCACGTTCAAAAAAACGAGCGTAAGTTGAACGTGTTTCACCTATAAAATAATGAGAAATTTTGAAATAAGACTATCGAATAGTTTTTGCTTACCTGCAATATTCGGCCAAGAGATATTGAGATAACCTGTCGAACCAGATAATTGTGGCCAATCGAGTTCATTCTCAATAATGAATAGCATATGTTCAAATACAGATGATGATGCTTGACTAGCATCGAGCCATTGTTCGGGAATATGAAAATGAGCAGAAACAGAGTCACCTAATATGGCAACGCCTATTCGTTGTGTATCATTGCATAATTCATCTTCCCATGGCCGATTTGTTGATGAATCCATGCCAAAGATTCCATTACAATTATGGTCAATAAGAAAATCACCTTTCATGGAACGTGCACCCGGTCGAATTTTTGATGATAAATCATTACAATCTTTACCACGCCATGAACTACCACGAAATGTTGCTTCCGTACCGAATCGATCGCCATCAATATCGACAAGAGGTATATGATTGTTAAAGACCTGTTCAAGAATTTTACAGATTTCATCAATGCCTGGAATAGTACAGATTTTCGATGTGAGTAAAGGAAGAAGTGATGGATGATTTTGACGAAGATTCGATCCACTCTGCCCGAGAGAGATAGATGATGGTGATGATGATTTGACCTGATACAATCGACATTCTGGTTGACCAGGATCAGTTCGGCAAATTTTCAGTGAATGACAAATGACATCGGATGTTTCATTCTTCGCGAAGCCATCAATAATGATTGTACCTAAGATTCAATTTTCATTCTTGTTTCGATTGAATCAAACAGTTAAACTTACCCAAAACTTCGACAGTCGTTTTACAATATATTCTAAATTCATTTGGTAAAAAATTGCAGAATCGTTCGAGTGATGCCACAATACTTTCATTGTAAACAATAGATACTCTCTCAATTATACCCAAAACCATTGTACATGCTGCGCATTCGGCACCCCCATTGACACCGTTCATCAAATGACCATCAATCTCTGGTGCAAGAACCATAAGCAACAATACGCATATCGAACCAATGCCTACCTTCAACATTTCTAAAAGTGTCCTCTTTACTGTGTATATAGGTGAATATGGCGCACATGTTATATAGCAACAAAAGAATGGGAATGATAACAACTGTTTTATTTTAAATGAAGAAGTTTAAAGATAAAAAAATGTGTGACGTCGAGAAAAATTTTCATTTCATACTCTAGTAAAACATCTTGTAAGCAAGATCTTGACCAAAACAGGGTATAGAAATGTGAGCTTATCTTGAAAATTTAACTACAAGATAATACAACTATCTTGCATCAAGATCTGTATTTAGATCTTAAGTACAGATGTGTAAGATCTTGGTAATAGTTGTTCTTGTCATCATTATTTTACAACTTATTCGAAATGTACAATTGTTGCTGTTGATGTTGTGTTAACAGTCGATCTTGACTTATATTTATCGATATTAGATTGCGATTGTTTCCTTGGACTAATAATAATATATGTAGAAAAGTTTCATCTAATGTTAAATATTTAAAAATCCAGAAAAGAAATAATTTTTTAGCATTTAAAATCTATGTATTGCCATACCATTATTACTTTAGAAAAAAGTTAAATTAGTATTTATTTAAATTATCATTTCATTTATATTAAGACCTAAAATGTTGTTCATTTTATCATTTTTCACCAAAAAATTCTTTATTCAAAAAACTTAAAATTTATATAATCCTTATATTTCAAAAATTAGTAATCTGGCTCTAGTCATGTTCTTACAAAATAGTATAATGTCGCTTATAAATATACAGAATAAATCACTCGACGAAAGTTCATTCATATTTTATAATGCTAAGTTAACTGTTTTTTGTTTTTTTCTTCTCTCTTTGTTATTGATATCTTTAATTCATTGGTTGATAGGTGCTGACAATGTTGCAAAACCTTTTTCATATTTATGATGCTGAGAAATCGATACGATTGAATTTTGGAACATAATTACAAGCAATTAAAAAAATTTTAAATATCTAAATAAATTAGTGATGTCGTTTTTCATTTTATTCAAGATCTTGGAAAAAGATAATCAGAATTACTAGTTTTTTCTATGATCTTGATATCTGGAATCTTCAAGCAGATCTTACAAAGATCTTAGATATAGATGTATTTGATACGATTAAGACATATAGAACCAATTATCTTTTAAAGATCTTGCTTACAAGATGTTTCACTAAAGTATATTGTTGTATGAAACTAAAAACTACAAACAGATAATAATAAGTTATATTGCAAGATTAGAAAAAAACCCAATCACATTCCATCAATTTTTCGCTTCAAGTGAAGCAAGAATGAGCACAGTCTGACATGGAGTATAAATCTAAGAAAAGACAAATAAATTCTATTAATAAAAATCTTCATTTAAACGTACTTGAAATGAAAATGGTCGATCATCCCACATGATATTGTCGGCAACAAAGATTTGTTGATCATTAATTCTTCCATGTCCATCAAAAGATTTCGCATCCGAATCAAGTACAACTTTATATCTAAAGAAAAAACTTTCTAACCAGAAAAAAAAAACAAGAATTATTCATTTTTACTTTCCACTTTGACCACATCCAATACGATAATCAGTGTAACTGTTACTGACATGAAAATTAAATATAAACATCAGATTACGATCGCCACGTTCGATTACTATAACTTTATCACCTTCATTTTTCCGACTAACGAACTGCAAAACAAAACTTATTTAAATTCTAATAGTTAATCGAAACGCTTACTGCATTTGTTGCTGTTAACCATTTATATTCTTCTTCCAAATCATTCATTGCTTTATCCCATGCCTTAAGATATTTATATCTCAATGTATCATCTTCAAATAAATAAAAAAGCCGACGAGCATATTTATAACTTTCATTATTTCCTTCTCGAGGAAAATCGAGCCATTCTGGATGACCAAATTCATTTCCTATAGGAAAATCTCTATTAAACTATTCGCTCTCTTCCTTAAAGGACGAGGGTGGATAAAACCATTTTTTTGCCCCCAACAAAATTAGTATTTTTTTTATCGATTTGAAGTAAGACATGACTCCTGATGATATTCCATACGGTTTTTTTTCCGTATAGCTTTTAGAGCATCACTGGCTACAAAACCTGGAATTACCAGTCAAAAACTTGCTTTTTCAGTAAGTCCTACAGAGATTGAAGTTTCCAAATCTTATGATAGCAGATTAGAACCAATATGAAATTTGGACTGAATGCCTAATTTTGGATGCTCCATCTGATGGTGAATTCAAAAAGCCGAACAAAATGATGCGTCAAAGGTTTTTTGGTTTTCTGGAAACCATTTTTAAGATATCAAGGGTTTCAATAAGAACCAACTTCACTATCGTGTTTAGCACATCAAATAACCTATTTCAAACCTTTTAAACATTATAGAAACATTGACATAATTATTCTTCTAACGTCTTCATTCTTTTCAATTTAGTAACATGATCTATAGAGCTAATCATAGAAATATATGTTCTGATCCGGCATATTAAAAATATTTCGATTACCAAAGAACTGTGTACAAAGGTTATTTGATGTGCTGAACATGATAGTGAAGTCGATTCTTATTAAAACCTTTGACGTATCATTTTCTTCGGCTTTTTGAATTCACCATCGGATAGAGCATCTAAAATTAGGTGTTCAGTCCAAATTTCACATTAGTTCTAATCTGCTATCAAAAGATTTGGAAACTTCAGTCTCTGTAGGACTTACTGAAAAAGCAGGTTTTTGATCGGCAATCCCAAGTTTTGTAGCCAATGATGCTCTGAAAGAGCTTTCATAGTTCATATTCAACAAGATCACATTTTTTTCACTATTATGAATGGTTTTTCATAAGGTTAGAATAATGAATGAAGATACAGAGCCAAAAACCTAGATATAAAGCTAAACGAGCATTTCAAAAAGGGCTGTTTTTTTGTTTATTAAAAAGCTTTTAGCACTTAATATATTGGTATTCGTAATCAGTACACTTGACTCTATCAATAAATATGTGTTTAAACGAAATCAAAAACAAAAAGTTTTTCAGAGTTTCTTGTGAGGAACCACAGGTCCCAAAAATCTTTTGGTGAGCTATACGAAAAAAAACCGTATGGAATATCATCAGGAGTCTTGTTTTACTTCAAATCGATAAAAAAAAAACTAATTTTGTTGGGGCCAAAAAAATGACTTTATCCATTCTCATCCTTTACCTTCAAAATTCAACCAAGCTTCTCCACCTAATATATATGTTACTAAACGAATCATTTTATGTAAAGCTAAACCACGTTCAACAACTGGTGTTCGTTCAGCAAAAACCGACATATGACTATAAATTTGTTCATTAAATAACCAGTGTGCTATTGTTTTATCACCAACAAGTGCTTGATCATGACTTTCAGCATAAGCTACATTTTTTTCTGACCATCGACGATTAGTTAATGTCCATGTTATATGACCAATTTGCCAATCTTCATCTCTTATATCTCTTAAGAACTTCAAACAAAAAACGAAATAAATTTTTATTTTTAAGAAAATACAAACTTTAATCCAAAGATCCGGAATCGCCATAGCTAAACGATAATCAAAACCAGCACCACCTTCAGCAAGTGGTCGACATAATGTTGGCATGCCTGACACTTCCTTTCAAATAAATGATTTACAATTACAGATTTTTGTTTTTCGAGAATCGTCAAAAATACCTCAGCAATTGTTATTGATTCAGGAAAAAGCGTTTGAATAACATGATGAGCTAATTGAAGATAATTAAATGAATCAGTATCCGTTGCTAAACCGAAATATTCTTTATATGTGCCAGAAAAATTATGTCCTGTAAAAGAAATTTATTAGATATGAGTAAATTCAATTAGAAATTACCGAGGCCATGTGAATGATAAAGCATTGATGATACACCATCAAATCGAAATCCATCAAATTTAAATTCTTCTAACCAATATCGAATATTAGAAAGAAGAAATCGCATTACTTCACGTCTAGATTAAAAATACTAATCGATGTATTTATATGAAAAAAAAACCAAAATCCTATTCTCAATTTTTCATTCTCACATATTCAGACCCATGGACAAAAAATTTCCCCTCTTCCTATCATCTAATATGTTCTATTTAACAAAACATAATATATCACAAGATATAGTATAAAAGCTCTACGATGCTGCGAATAAGATCATTTTTTAGTATACGATGAATTTCTTTCTTTGTGACTTTGATTAATCAGTCATATCCAAGATCATAATCGATAATCGAACTAAGACCATTCAGTATGTGTTTCAATTACAACAATATGCAATGGAATAAAGTTAAAAACAACGATTGATTAATTGATGAATTTTGTTTTTTATTTTGATACACTCTATTAAGTGATGAAAAAAGGAACTTTTGTTTGTTCATGGGAGAGTACAAAAATTCGACAAAATCTTCAATTTTGTAGATGTGTAAACTTACGTTAGATAATTAAAACATCGACTATCCCAAAGCGTTTGATAACCACGTGGACTATCATGAAAAAAGCAACCAGCTGTACCATCAAACATATTAAGTCCATCAAGAACATTTTTCGAACTATGACTATGCACAAGATCAAGTATAACAGTTAAGCCATGTTTATGTGCTTCATCAATTAATGCTTTTAATTCTTCCGGTGTACTATAACGGCTAGAATAAAGATAAACTAATCAAAAAAATTAATTATTTCAATAAATAAACCTTGATGCAGCAAAAAAATTGGTTACTTGATAACCAAAACTAGCATAATAGGAATGTTCCATAATAGCCATTAATTGAATTGTATTATAGCCTATATGAAAAAAAACAAAACATCTATTTATTAAAATTCAAGAATATAATTATAAATAAACCTTGTTTGACAATATGAGGAATAATATTAATACGAAAATTTTCATATGTAGAAACTTCTTCTTTTGATGAACTAATTCCAACATGAGCTTCATAAATTTTTAATCGATCACGTTTTTTTGGTTGAGAATATTTAAATTTATAAATTTGATCCTCCGGTGGATTATAAAATACTCCATGATATACATTAGATTTTTCTGGACGTTGTACATAACATGACCATGGACAAATACGATCAACTAATTCACCATCAGAAGTTTCCAAAAGTAACTAAAAGAAAATTTTATTTGTTGACAACAAGATGTTTCACATATTACTTTTATTGCTTGACCATGTTTGATTGCCGGCGAACCATCGGGTAAATGTGGAATTGTACCTCTCCATATACCCCATTGATCACGTGTAAATGGATATTGTTTTTCTTGCCAATTATCTAGATAAAAAAAAGCGAAAGATTATTTTTAAAAAAACTTTCAGTACAAACTAAAATCTCCACGAATATACATTGCTTTTGCACCGGGTGCCCATTCTTTAATATTTATTTCATTTGTTTGAGAATTAATATGAATACCGAAGTGTTTATAAGCAGATGTAAATACATCAATACCTTGTTCTTCACTTTCAAGTTGTTTAAGAAGTTTTTGAAAGATATAATAACTAAAAACAAAAAAAAAATCATCATTGATTTTACATGATTTTTTTTTACCGTCTTCGAATTTCATCTTGATATGGTGCAAGATATGGATCAAGTTTAACTAAACGATCTAATTCAGGTACAACAACATTCGCATGATCTTTTGTTGCTTCTAATACTCTAGAATAAAATCCTAAGATAGAACAATACGTATGTTTTGATTAAAACTAACCTTTGTAAATTAATCATTTCGGGAAATATTGATGAGTTGATTACGTCGAAAGTGGAATATTTCTATGTTTAACCACGTTTTTTTTTCTACTATGACTGACCTTGTGTTAGTGTATATAACTGTTGATAATTTCATAGAGAACAGAAAAGAAAAAAAAAAAACTATTATCGGCATTGGTGGTACTATCTCTTTGTGAAGCAAAGCGAGGCAAAAGAGGTCAGCTTCTGCTGATTTTTTTACGTTCTTTTTTGCAAAAAATAACAAGCAATGGAAACGATAGGCCTACTGTATAAAAGAAAGATAATTATAGATTTATCGTTGCTATGCCATCAACTTATTAGTGAGCGATCCCAATGTTAATTCAGCTTCGATTGTATTGCAGACCTAAAAAATTTTTCATGCATATTAGAAAATATGATGTCTAACGGAATACGTCATCAGAAACATGTTTTATTTTTATCAATTCATTTGCATATTACTAAATATATGGAAAGAAACACGTATGATTAGATTATGTTCAGTGAAATTAGTTATTCTTATTCAGATATATAACCTTTTCCTAACGCGTACACTATTCTCAAGGTGAAACAAGAAAAAAATTTCTTTTTTGTATTTTTGTAAAAGTTTATTGACTAGTTTTTGTCAAGTTAACACTTGACGTCATCAAAATCTTACAAAACCCAGGTCGAAGAATCCGACAATAAGATCTTGTGCGATATTGCAATACCTTACAAGATCTTACTGTGAAATCTTATATGATCATATAAGATCGTATGAAAGTCATATACGATCTTGTATGATTTTTATAAGATAGTCATAAAGCCTGCACATCTGATCATATCGTACTGTACGATTCTTATATGATCTTATTGTATGATCTGATAAGATCTTGCATTATTCATACATGCTTCTATACAACTATAGGATGCATTGCATGATTGATATTCTTGCACTTTTCATCACCTCTACCTAATTTTTCAACAGGCTGAGTTACCTTCTTCAAACTCTTTGTTTCAAGAGAAAACATTTATCGCGAAATTTTTATCATTTTACTTCGTCTCAGACTAAATTTATTTTTAAATAAAAAAAATATTTATCATTTCCACATGAAAACATGCAATGAGTAATGCGTAGTTTTATCGAAAACAGATCACAGTTCGGTTTGATGTTAATTTTAAGCTCGTCCTCGAATAATCGACCACCAGTATATAGAGTAGAGTTCGATATTGAAATTGACTTAATTAATTACAGAGTTGTAGTTTGGAAAACGGATTTAACCAAATTATATTGGATAAGGTTTCCTTGATTTTATTTTAATCATAAATGAATAATTGTATTATATTTATTTTGTGTTAGTTGGAATGATCAGATAAAATAATTTAATTTAATTGTAGAAAAAATCTAGTATGTTAATTTTGTTTCAATCGAAATAAAATAAAATGATAAAATTAGGTTAATTTAGTTCCATATAATGTAAATTCTAAATAATATTATCAAATTGAATATTAATTTTGCATTAAAAAAATATAAATGCAATAATTCCATTAGTTTAACTTTATTTCAAGTAAGATTAATCTCTTCACTTTGAATTTATTTTATTTTCCCAGACTATTAAATAAATAATCTTATGAAAATGAACCTATTTTGTTGTAAAACAAGTATAGTTGTATTAAATTGCTTTCATTTTACTTTGACTATAAGTAGATAATCTTCTTAGATTAATTATATCTTAACTGAAATAAGTTAAGCATATACATCAAATGAAACTAACTCCTTTCACATTGATTGAAAGTAAAATAAAATAATATTTTTCATCATTAGTTTGAGTCAAAATAAACCAGAAATAACGAAATTCAGTCGATGAAACCACAAAGACTAAATAAGATCGATACGAATTTCAAATATCTAAAACAAAACTGGATAATTTTGAAGAATTATAAATTAATATAAAAAGCCTAGTTGTATTTTTGAAAAAATATATGACGTGCAATTTCTTCCACCATACTAGAATATAAGACGAATGTAACGGTTTCTCGCTCATATATATAGTATATATTAGCCATTGTCAGCTTACATGTCCTCTACACTAGAGAATTATTATTAATTACAGTTTTACAAACAAATACAAAAAATGTTTTTTTCAATAAGAATAAACGATAAAATGAATTTAACGAGATAAAATTCAAAACAATAATAAACTTAATCAAGTCAAATCAAATTGATTAGTAGTGTGCTATTTTTATAATAAGCATCGCTGTATACAAAACGTGTATTTGCAATTTAAAAAGAAATTATATTTCTATTAGGAAGCATTCCATCACTTAAACACGTGTAGTAATCTACATCTATAAACCTATCGTTATAAGAACTAGTTTGCATGAGAAATATCTTAAAATTATGGTCTGACAAGATCCTACAATATCTTACAAGACTCCCATCCTCAGATCTTGCAAGAATCTTATATCAAGAATCATATAAGATTGACGCTAGCATCTTATAATAAGAATCATATTAAATCTTAGAACAAGAAATTTGCAAGATTTCGTAAGATCATACAATCTGAATCTTACAAAATCTAATTGTCAGCAAGATCGTATAAGATCTTATATGATCCTCGTACGATTTTTGCACCTGGGAAGGAAAACCTGGAAAAAATTATCGAGGACTACTTAGGGCGTACCAAAAGTTCGTGGCCCGATGTTTAAAATTTTAGAAAACAGTAGATATTGAATATTTTATTATGGGAATATATAGTATCACGTCTCGTCTTTAATAATCTATAGAGCTGCTCTATCTTGGATTTAGTTCTAACATTCTGCTAGATAAAAGATGCAGCGCTTACAGCCAAGAAAAGATCCTGACAATATAAAACCAGGATATGAAAAGAAAGAAATATTCGTAGTTTTATTTTATTAAATGCTCAAAATAATCACCATTATTTTCGATACAAAGTTCCATCCTTTCTAACAGTTTATGAAAAGTCTTTTTAAACTTGTTTATTGGAATATTCTTCACTATGGTGAAAACCTCGTGAGCCAGCGATTCTTCATTTGTGTGATCGTTCAACTTGCTCTTGATATAATCATTTAGCCAAAAGTCACACGGTGCAAGATCTGGTGAATATGGTGGATGTGAAATTATGTCGATACCTTCCTCTTCTAGATAATTAACAACATCTCGATGAGTATGAGGACTACCATTATCATGAAGCAGTTTATATTTTGTGAGTGATGATTTTTCTTTTTTCTTATTTCATTGATAACAGGTATGAGACAGTTTTCAATATAGTAGTTGTGATCGATAGTCTTGCCTTTATCCACTTTATGTATAAGGACAGGACCAGTAGATTTAAAGAATAGACAGAAAAGTGTTTTAGGTTCATATCTATTCCGACGAACAATGGTCCTTGGTGGTTCATTTTCACCAACCCAGGTAGAATTGCTTGACTTCCGACCAATCTGTCTGTGATAAATCCACGTCTCATCACCGGTTATAATATCACATAATTGCCATGTTCCGTTCCTAAATTTTTCTAAATTTTGACGACAAATTCGAAGTCTTTTTGTTTTTGTTCGTCAGTAAGTTGGTGAGCAACCCAACGTGATACAACTTTTCTCATCTTTAGATGATCATGGATAATTCGTTCTATTGTACCACGCGATAGATCAGTCTTAACAATAATATCTTCATAAGTTGAGTGGGGATCATCTTCGATAACTTGTCGAACACATTCAATATTTTCAACTGTAAAAACTGAAATCGGACGACCAGATCGAGGATCATCACTGACATCTTCTCTTCCTTCACGAAAACGTTTTGCCCAATTTTTAACCATTGAGTATGATGGAGCATCAGGTCCCAATGCTTCTGTAAGTTCGTCGAAGATTGTTTTTGGATTTATTCCCAAAATAACTCGAATTTTGATATAGTGTCGATTAAATTCATCGGTCATGTTTGATAACTTGTTTTGCAATTGAAATCAAATTTTATCACGATCTGAAGTCGGGTGCGGTATAAATGAGCTGACAGTGAACAACCTCACATTTATATATACTATCGAAAGGTAATGTTCTAGATCATGACGTCATTAAATGTAACGGGAGAAAGTGACCAATGGGAAATATGAACAGTTCCAGAATATACCTGAACATTGGACAAGGAATAGTTAAATATTAACATAGTCGCTAAATTATGAACTTAGTCTCGCAGAATGCCAGAACTAAATCCAAGATAGAGCAGCTCTATAGATTATTAAAGACGAGACGTGATACTATATATTCCCATAATAAAATATTCAATATTTACTGTTTTCTAAAATTTTAAACGTCGGATCACGAACTTTTGGTACGCTCTAAGTAGAAGAGTGCAAGATTTCACGTGAAATTTGAAATAATAATTATACAGGGACGTGGGTGTGCGTGTAGGTGTGGGTGTGAGCGTGGGTGTGAGCGTGGGTGTGAGCGTGGGTGTGGATGTGAGTGTGAGTGTGAGTGTGAGTGCGAGTGTGGGGTGAGGGTAGCGGAGCGGGTGTTTTAAGCGTCCGATCTCTCTTCTTTCTATTCTATCAACAGCACAGAAAATCATGGAGTGCAGACAATTTAATATTTCAAACCAACATATGAATAAGGAGAAGGAAATTACAAGTTGATCGTTGAAAATATTCGATTATAAGTCATGCTAATGAGGCGGTGGATTGTTTATTGTTTCTAAAACTTTTCCCAGCAAGATATGGTTTTCGTTGGTTTTTTTTCTAGCTGTTTCATGGCAGCACGGTGTTGTTTTATTTCGCAGCTAATTAATCGATCCTTTTCCATCAATTCAGCATTCAGTCGGTAATAGTTGGTTGGTAGTTCTTGTCTTCCTTTAAGCACACGAAAAAATGTTTCGTCACACTGCTTGATAAATGCCAATTTAAGAAGAAAATGCGCATGCCCATGACAATGAACAGCGCGTTTATCTTCCGAGCCTGGTGTTTCCCATCGACCAAAATTGAAATTAATACCATCAACACACCAAG